CGCGAGTCCGGCTGTGACGAGGTATATTTCAGTCTCTGTGTTATGTATACATGTATATTTCAGTCTCTGTGTTATGTATATATGTATATTTTAGTCTCTATATTTACATTTTGTTTGGATAATCAATGTATACATGTATTTGCAGACATTAGAAATATTTCAGTCTATTTCTCTATTTCAGTCTCTATGTATTTGCAGACATTACAAATATACCAGTGCTATAATTAATTTGTATATATTATTTTTTCTCTATACATTTCTCTATATTAATTTTTATATATAATTAAGGATTTATATATAATTAAGGATTTTGTTAATTCAGAAATTACTAATTTTTAGATATAATTTAGATATAATTTTTATTTATAATTTAGATGAGTTTGTTAAGGATTTAGTTATATTTTTTATTTATTTCAGTCTCTATGTTTGTGATCTATGCTGTAATCTGTGTTTGCATTCCTCTGTTTACCAGTGGAAGCTGCATGGAGTCTGAATCTTCTTTGAAAATGGTTTCAAAAATATGGTCTTGCTAATTCTTTTATAAAAAAAAAAATTATGTATCACCTACCTAAATCTGCTGATAGCTGCCTAATGCCTCAAACTGCTGATCTGCTTGTATAAAGAAATTAAGTCAATGCTGAATAAGATAAAAAAGTATAATTGCTGAGCCTTATTCTTTTGTTATTATCTTTTATTTTCCCCCATCTTTAGCTTGAAAACTAGTACAAGTGACATGAGTAGACGAATTGTAAGTATACCTAGCACATCAAATTTATTAATGCCTATATGATGAATGATAGGTAGGTATTGTAACTACTGAAAAAAAAAAGAAGTTGGGCAGCACATGATAGCAGTCAATTCCCTAGTGCATTATGCTGAAAACATTTTATTGTCTTCCTTTAGATTCAAGTTGTCCATTCATTTGAAAGGATGCAGAAACTTGTAATTTTTTAACTTTGATTTGAACTTATGATCATTAAAAAAAAATAAATAAATAAATCTAAACGCTGGCATACCTATCCAAAAAACTGGCATACCTGTCCAAAAAAATCCAAGTCATAGATCGAAGTAATATAAATTGATTCATTGAACCTATATATCGAATTGCAGGTAATCGAAGAAAATAATGTTGTTAATGAGTTGGCTAATTGTGGTTGGAAGCTGAAATTGGGCATGTCATTTGACTCTGAACAAGCTGCATATGATTTTTACAATACCTATGGCGGAAAGGTGGGCTTTAGTATTAAGAAGCTATATGCACACAAGAACAAACATACTAAGGAAATAACTTCACGGACTTTTGTATGTTACAAAGAGGGAACTCGGGGTATTGACAAGCGAGATCCGCTAGTAAAATTTTCGAGACAAGAGGTGAGGTGTGGTTGTGGTGCTCGATTTAGTATCAAGTTAGATAGAAATTTAGGAAAATATATTGCCATTGATTTTGTTGAACATCATAATCATGATCTTGTGCCTCAAGAGTGCATTCATATGTTGCCATCCCAAAGAAAAATATCTACCACCCAAGCAATTGAAGTAGAATTGGCTTCAGAATCTGGAATTCCTCTTAGGTCTGCTTATGAGCTATTTGGTAGGGAATCTGGTGGAAGAGCATCACTTGGCTTCACCAAATTAGACCAAAAAAATTACTTGAGATCGAAGAGACAAAAAGATTTGGAATATGGAGAAACGGGTAGTGTGTTGCAATACTTTCGTAAGAAAAGTTTAGAAAATCCATCCTTTTATTATGCAGTCCAATTAGATTGTAAAGAGCAAATAAGTAACATATTTTGGGCGGATGCACAAATGATAATGGACTCTGCTCAATTTGGTGATGTATTGACCTTTGACACTACTTACAAATTAAATAATGAACATAGACCTTTTTGAACCTTTGTTGGATTTAATCATCATCGAGAAACTATTGTATTCGGTGCAGCGTTGATGTATGATGAGACTGCCTAATCATTCACATGGTTATTTCAGATTTTTTTAGAGGCAATGTCAAACAAAGCTTCAAAAACTATTTTCACCGATCAAGATGCTGCGATGGTTAAGGCCATTCCAATTGTCATGCCTAGTACAAACCACAGACTTCGTACATGGCATTTGATGCAAAATGCTGTGAAGCATGTGAGTTCCCTCTTTCAAGATGTTGGGGTAAAGGGTGTCTTTTCAAAGTTTATGCATCAAATTGATGATGAAGAAGAATTCAAAATATAATGGGACCAAATCCTTGATAGGTATGATGCACAAAACAATCATTGGTTGGCGCAAACTTTTGGTGTGAAGGAGAAATGGGGATGGCCATATATTATGAATTCTTGGGCAGCCGGAATGAGTACTACTCAACTAAGTGAATCATTCAATACATTTTTGAAGGATTATCTCAATTGTGACCATAACTTGATAGAATTTTTCAAACATTTTGAGAGGGCGCTCTATGACAAGAGGTATAAAGAATTGGAAGCCGAGTATAATTTGTGTCAAAAATTGCCAAGGGTTTCCATTCCAACTGTGATGTTAAAGCAAATGGCAGATATTTACACCAAAACAATTTTTGAGGAATTTCAAAATGAGTACGTGCAGTCCATTAAAGCGTCCATTGTAGGCACTATTCATGATGGTGAGAGTACCATATTCACAATTCAAACAGATGTAGATGGAAAAAAGATAAAAATGTGACAATGGATAGAGATGGTTTTTTGAGTTGTAGTTGCAAGAAGTTTGAAGTGAAAGGCATAGTGTGTTAACATTGTTTACAGGTGCTTAGAGAGATAATCAATGCAAAGGACCTTCTTGCACAATACATACTCAAACGATGGACTAAAAAAGCAAGGGCTGAAAGTGTGAAAGATAGGCGTGGGTATGATGTGAAGGCTGATGTCAAACTACATCAAAGTGACCGATATAGGTCATTGATGAATATGCTTAGAGCTATAGCAAGTAGAGCCGCCGAAAGTGAAGAAACTTATCATTTGTCACTTGCAAAAGGTGAAGAACTGAGTGTCATGGTTGAAGACAAATTAAGTGTGCACACTTGTGGTCAAGTGGAGATCACTGAATTCAGAAATTCCTCAGCTAACACATGCCCACAGAGTGATGAAGTAGATTGTCCAATCCAAGCCAAGAGACTGAAGAAAAGACAAGCAACTAGTAAGGGAAGAAGGAGGATCAAGGGCGGGATGGAAAAATGTATGCAAAAAAGAAAAGAATGCAATCTAAGCAGGTAATTAATTGAAGTTATGTGTGATTGTTATGTGTTATCAATTTTGTGTTATGTGTGTTAGGAAAATAATTTATTAAATAATTTGGTTGTTTGCAGGGTGATGGTTTTTGTATTCTTGAAGGTCAATATGAGCCTCCTATTGCCATGGGTAATATTTCTAGTCAGGTAATTAATTTTTACTATTGTGTGCAACTTGTATGAATTTGTTGGATTGATTATTCTTGCAACTAGTAGCGTTATATTTATTATTTTTGGTCTTTTGTGATGCATGTAGGATGGTTTTTTTCTACTTATTAGGGTCAATCTCAACCTTCTTCTGACATGGGTAATCATTCAATACAGGTAATATTTAATTTAGGGTGTTTACCTTTGACATGCATAGACGTTAGGGAAATTGAACCTCATACGGAACCAACATATCTTGAATTGGTTCTTCTTGCAATATAGTCATCTAAAATTTTTTTTTTTTCGTGCGTTAGTTGTATAGGGTGTTACTGTTTACACTCCGCAAAGTTCATATTGTTTGTTTTTTAAAATGAAAATGCATCATTAACTTTTCTTTCTTCACATTGTCTTATTCTTTGCTTTATGTTGGTTTACGTTAGGGTGTTTACACTCCACAAAGTCAATCTCGACCTCCTTTTGCCATGGGTCGTAGTAATTATGTAATATAAAATATTGTTTGTTTTTTAACATGAAAATGTATTATGAACTTTTTTTGCCATACATTGTCTTTCTTTTTTTATGTTGGTTTACTTTAGGGTGTTTACACTCCACAAGGTCAATGTTGACCTCCTTTTGCCATGGGTAGTAATTATGTTGAGGTAATATAAAATATTGTTTGTTTTTTAACATGAAAATGCATTATTATTTTTTTTTCATTTCACTTCTTCTTTTATTTATGTTGGTTTACTTTAGGGTCATGGTCGTGCAATCTCTCAATCCCAATCTCGACCTGAATCCCAATCTCAACCTTCATTTGCCATGGGTCGTACAAGTGTTCATCATGTCATGTATCCTACATATGATGTGAGTTGTAATTGTTTACATACTTTACATTGAAAATGTAGTATAGATTCTATAAATATTTTAATACATGTATCACTATTGCAGGGAAATAACACGCCTCAGTCAATGCCGCCTGATTCAATGCCTTTAGTGTATCCCACTCCGACATCGTTTTAGAAATTGCTTCGAGATACTACTGCAGTCTAACTGTCACAAGCCTCACATAGTCCTGTTGATAGTCATGTGGATGGACATCCCTGGAAGGCTTGCACCGAATGATTATCTTATTATATTTGTGGATTTGGGTGTATTTTTTTTATGTTCGGTGGGATTTGGATATTTTTGATGGACAATTTTTTTTTATGTATTTCTAATGTTTTGTGGGATTTGTATAATTTTTATGGATATCTTTTTTATGTATTTGTAATGTTTGGTGGGATTTGGATATTTTTTATGGACATTTTTTTATGTATTTTTAATGTTTGGTGGGATTTGGATATTTTTTATGGACATCTTTTTTATGTATTTTTAATGTAATGGACAGATTACACTTATTTGCTGTTTTGATTACACCCTGTAATGGACAGGTTAAACTTATTTCCTGTTTTGATTACACCTTGTAATGGACAGGTTTGATTTTATTTCCTATTTTGATTACACCCTGTAATGGACAGATGTTGGGACAGGTTGAACATAACCATAACCATACAAAGTGAACAACATAACCATACAAACTGATTACACAGATTACACAGCTTTGCTGGACAAAATGAACAACATAACCAAGTGTCATTACATAACCATATAACCATACAAAATTAACAAGTCCAGTTAACCATACAAAGATATAGTTTACATAACCATACAAATTGCCACTAGCTTCCATGGGTCGCAAAGATTACAAAACTATTACATTTTTATAACTAACACGATCCCAATTACAAGCAAGATATACAACCCATAAATACGACTCGAATTTTGATTTATGTCTGTTTCCAACTTAAGCATCTTCGCCCTCATAAATTGAAGTTCTTCGCTTTGAAATCGAAGTTGTTCATTCATAAGTCGAAGTTGTTGTTCGATGACAGTTGACATATTTTCCATTTGCACTACTCCTTTACCTCTAGCTTGTGAATTTGTAGGCAAGCACCATCCCATAAAATCGCCGCAATTTTTACAACAATAAAATAATTTGTTTCTGTTTTGTTCCGTCTCTGAAATTTGAATAGTTGCTTTCTTATGACATTTAGGGCAATTTCTGTTGTAGAACGTCAACTGATCTGAGGTACCTCCGTTAATAGTTGAACTTGACATCTGCAAAATTATGCACACAATTCATAGGTAAAGTTATATACACATTCAACTTCAATCATATCATTCCTACATACAGCTATAATTCAAGTTTTGTTCATTAATAAGCCATCACTACCAAATGGATTTTTCCAAAAACAGATAAAGAAGAAGAAAAGAAAAGGAAATAAAACATGGATGGTAGAGTTCAAGTGGATAATCCCTCTGCAGCAAATGAAGCTCATAAGCATGATCTCTCTGCAGCAAATGAAGCACCAGAACCTTATGTAATTCAAGGAAAATAATCCTTGAAGCTCATAAGCATCACAATAGAAAGAAATTTGTTGTGATTAAGATTATCTATTCTACTAACACCATTTTTGGCACATTGGTCCATTCGCATATAACAAAGAATAATTTGGGCACTAATTGTTCAATGAGAATAGCTCAAATTTAGAAATGATAGTTTAGATACGGACTTCAACATAAAATTTGAGAGATTTACCATGATGGGTTATGATAGACAATACAAAAAAATCATAATAAAATCACTTTCCTTTAATCTGCATTATTACAATTATAAGCATCACGGACTTCCTCATTAGTTTCTGATTCCATCTAATAATAGTTAACTCTCATACCATTTTCTATAAAGTTTCAACTTCAAATCCCTTCATTTGAAATCCAAAATTCAAATAACCCATTTTGATATACTTTTTCCATTTTTAAAATTCAATATCATTATCAAATTCAAATTCAAGATCATTGTCAAAATCAAATATGTTCTACAAATCATTCTCAAATTCAAGATTCAATGACAGAAGTCAAATGTTCAAAACAGAATCAAATATTTGAACTTCAACTGAAATATGTTCTGAGAAATAAGAATTTGTTCACCCTGTTCAAATAAAAATATTTGTAATCCTGTTCTTAAATATGTTAAGAAATATGAGCACGGAATTCTGTTTTATTTGAACAAATTTAAGAATGGAATATTTGATTACAAATATTCTTATTCTATGAAATATGTTCTATGTTCACCCTGTGTAATCAAACCTATTTCTCAAATTCTGTTTTATTTGAACATATTTAAGAATGGAATCTATGTTCAAAACAGAAGTCAAGTTAACATTGTTAAATTATGCACATTTCATAGAAGTCAAGTTAACATTGTTCAACTGTTAAACATAGATTCCAACTTTTGAACATATTTTGCACATTTCATAGAAGTCAAGTTAACATTGTTAAATTAAGAATGTGTTCATAGATTAAATTAAGAATGGAATCTATGTTCAAAACAGAAGTCAAGTTAACATTGTCAAGTTAACATATTTAAGAATAGGTTCTGAAATATATTCATATTTAAGAATGGAATCTATGTTCATAGTTCAACTGTTAAACATTCTGAACACATTAAATTATATTTTTATGTTCATCAACAATGTTAAAGATTCTGAACATATGTTCATCAGCCATTGTCAGAATCTATGTTCATCAACCAAAAAGAGTATGGGCAAAAAAAAGAATGGAAAATCTATGGAAAAATCAAAAGGAAGAGAAACGAACCTCGTCAGTTCACTCTTCCAGATCGTCCAGGTCGTCTCCTCTCCTTCGTCCTGTATCGTCGCCTCCCTCTTCCAGATCGTCTTCTCTCCTTCATCCTATATCATCGCCTCTGTGTCTAGGGTTCAAAAAAGGAAAGGGGAAAGCTAAATAAGAAGCAAAGAAAGGGAAAAAAAAAAAATACAAAACGACGTCGTTTTGTAGTGCTGCTGGGAGTGCTGCAAGAAAGAGCTGCTGAAGATCCGAACTCATTAAGAAATTAGTCCCATGGGATTAGGTTTTTTTTTTTTTTAACATGTTGGGCATTTTTTTTAAATATTAATGTTTAATGTTTTTGTATTTTTTTGTTAAGCAAAAATCATAATTTTATTTTTTTTAATATTTTATATTTCTTTTATAAGGTAATAATTTAACAATTCACATACTAACAACGACCACCAAAATAAACATTTACTTAATTATCTCACTATTAATCTCCTCCATTCTACCTCTTAATACAAACGGGGTTAGAGATGATTTGATTCCCGCTATCATCCAATGCAACCCCTATTATTTTAGAATGCTGCTGATTCCAAAGAGTGGATTTGGAGAGCATTGTGCACTTTTATGTTAGTAATAAAAATATAATTCAAACCATTATAAACTGCCGTATTTGTTTGTAGTGACCACAATTTGAAAATCTATTTACTGCAATTCCAATTCATGCGGTTAATTCTGCACAAAGCCTGGGAAGGGTCCTCCACTACATGTTCAAAGACCGCTTTATTGCGATGAAGCCAAATACCCCAGAGGATTTTGATCGATTCTCCTAATCCATTCTCGGAACCAAGAGTCCACTGGTAGTTGTTCACCAACGTCAAAACTCAGTCCCAACCTAGATCCTCAAGTGATAGTTACATGAAATTGGCATTTTATTCTAAATTAAAAGATGATTTATAAACATAATTCCTCCAATTTCATGATAATAAGTTTTTGAATCTAATTTACCCATGAATTTTTTTTACCCCACAAGATATAATAAGGTACAACAAATGATCTGATATAATATAAAAGATTATATATATTATAACTAGCCCTTTTTGTGTGTGTTTGTGTTTTTTTTGGATCAGTCAGTATGAGATTTACAATGAGAAGCATTATAATAAATTTAACAATTAAAGTCTAACAATACACCAAATCTAATCAAATAACTAACTACAAACAATCCAAAAATAGAAGAGAAATAAGCATTACATTCATAGAAGTTGAACAGAAAATAGATAAGGAATAAATGAGCCTCCGATGTCTGAATATAATAAATTTAAATTTAAGGGGTATAAATAATAATGAGTGAGAATTGAGGGATTATTCATGTAATTAATCCTTCTTTTGTATTTATTCAATCAGGAATCAAAATTTCATTTATCATAAAACTCACCTACAGTTAGAGAGAGAGAGAGAGAGAGGGAGAGAGAGACAAGATATAATAAGGTACAACAAATGATCTGATGTAATATAAAAGATTATATATCATAACTAGCCCTTTTTGTGTGTGTGTTTGTGTTTTTTTTTTGGATCAATCAGTATGAGATTTACAATGAGAAGCATTATAATAAATTTGACAATTAAAGTCTAACAATACACCAAATCTAATCAAATAACTAACTACAAACAATCCAAAAATAGAAGAGAAATAAGCATTACAAAGATATCAAACTCTTCTTCATAGAAGTTGAACAGAAAATAGATAAGGAATAAATGAGCCTTCGATGTCTGAATATAATAAATTTAAATTGAAGGGGTATAAATAATAATGAGTGAGAATTGAGGGATTATTCATGTAATTAATCCTTCTTTTGTATTTATTCAATCAGGAATCAAAATTTCATTTATCATAAAACTCACCTACAGTTAGAGAGAGAGAGAGAGAGAGGGAGAGAGAGATGAAGATATTTGGCAAGTACATATTTCCGAGGCAGATCATACTCTTTGGTTCAGGGTATGTATCTATCTTCTTCTTCTTCTTCTTCCATATTTTCTTCTTTATTTTGCTTCTCACCTCATAAATTGGTTAGATTAGATGTCTTATTTTCTTGTAAATATAAATATATACAAATATTGAAATTGAAGTGGGGACAAACATAACACAGGGTTATGTTCTTGGCTGCAACAACGTACGACGTTCATAGATCCATAAAGAACAACGAAACGCCCCCATCCAAACAACAAATCCAAGCCCTGGAGGATTATATCAGCTCCATCCGCCGATCTCCTTGACCTCACCACCACCGCTTCTGAATTTGCCACGTCTTCATTTCCTAAAACTAAAACTCTATCCATACCGCCTAATAATAAAAAATAAAATCCACAAAACTGATATGATAATGTCATTTTTGTAATTGAATTATCTTAATATTTATTTTATTTTAAAGTGAAAGATTTGTATTAAACTTTTTTTTTTTATTTTAGTTTTTTTGTTTTTATATGTATGGTGTGTGAAGAGAAATATATTACCAAAATAGTTCATCAAAACATTTCAAATCCGATGTAGATTCTTTCTTAGCATTTAGTTTCTTACCGGGTTATTTGGTATTAAGCATATTTATTTGTTTATTTGTTTTTGTTTTGTTATATCGATTCTCTAATTTTTTTTTTTAACATCTTTTTGTAAAAATTTAAAAAGTAACTAAATAAACAAATATCAAACCAAGGTTCTACACGTAAAAAGTCAAGGAGACTTCCATGTAGGCAGTGGATTTATTGCCCAATAAATTTTATAATAATTAGTAATATTTTTTATTATAAATTATTAAAAAAATATTACTAATTATTAATTCAACGACAATTTAAAAATTTTATTATAAAAAATGATACCAATGATAAGTTTTAACGATAGTTTAAAAAAAAGTCGCTAACTTTTAACTTTCAGTAACAATTTGAAAATTTTGTAACAGAAAAACATCACTAATTATAAGTTTTAGCGACAATTTATAAAAATCGTGATCAAAAAATCACTAATTGTAAATTTTAGCGACAAGTGTAAAAAATTGTTGCAAATTTTTTTTTTAATAACGGTTGTACCCAAATTTATTTTTAATAAAATTTGTTGAAAATTAAATTCAACTATTAAGATTTATTATTAATTTACTTAAAAGGACAAACTACATTTATAGTTGTAACGCAATACATAAATCGACAATGCTACGTAACTCAAATTTTGTGACTCAAAAATGGCTCAAATGGCCAAAACGACGTCGTTTTGAGTACAGAACAACATAAAAATGGCCAAAACGACGTCATTTTGGCCATTTGAGTAACTTTTGAGTCACAAAATTTGAGTTACGTAGCATTGTCGTATGGATTGGAGTAACAGTGTTATTTTGCAAATGCATACGTATTTTCATATTGATTTGTTGTTTCAAATATTTTTTTTTTTTTTTTTTTTTTTGTAACAACCTCAAAATATTGTTTGATCTATGGATTTGGAGAAGATTCGAAAAGTAAAAGGAAAAAAGTAAGTAAAATATAAATGAAATATAACTAAATTTTATTTATGGTCTACACAATTTTTTTCTTTTCCTTTTCAAACTTTTTTCCAAATTTATGAATCAAATACTGCTTTAACATTTAGCTGAATTTTGTGAAAAATTAAAAATGGTGATGTGATGTAATAATGGTATCCTTTCGGTGAAAACAAATATAGATTTTTCATAAGGGTTTTCAATAGATATTTCGATTTGTCTAAATTGATCGAATCAAATTGATTCATGCATTTTAAATAGATGCATGATGATTAATTTTTTTACGGTTCCAATTCGTAGCTCGAATTTTCCGTCGCTCGAGTGGCTTGAAATCCTAAAACGATGTCGTTTTAGGATGTTTTTTGATTATCTTATTGGTAAGATAATATTTTTCGTACCATTCGGTCCATTCGAGCCTCACTTTCTCGAGCTACGGAGCATTTTCTATTTTTTTAATCCGCCTAGCTTTAGACAAATGGTGGATTTGATATTCTTTTGACTACAGTCGAACCGCAAGAACCTTTAATAATTTGTAAAATTTTGTGTTTTCAATTTATTTAGATATTCTGTTAATGTTTTTAATTAAAAAAGAGTTTAAATATTTTGTTATATTTTAATTTGTTTTCAATTTAAAAATTCTTTTATCAAATGACAAGTGTTGATATTTGATATTTTTATGTAAAAAAATAAGGCTTAATTTTATCTTTTTTAAAAAAAAGTCATGTTAAATAGTTTTTGAATAAAAAAAAAGTAATAAAATAGTTTTAATTATGCATAGTTTTCTTATATGTATTTATTATTGATATTTGACAATTTATTTGATAATTTTTTGATTGTATTGAGTTGGATTGTGATTCAAAAAAAAAATATTAACAAATTATTATATTATATTTAAAATTTATAAAACCTTAAACTATCTAATTGATTCATATTTATCCATCAATTGGCTAATCCGTTCAATATACATCTGCCAATCCAGCAGCGGATTGAGCTTATAAATGGAGATTCCTGCTCATGAAATAAGAATATTCTTTTGCTTGAGAAGATGTTTGCCAGGACTTTTTTTTTTTTTTTACCAGGAACAAAATTGAAATCTTGTTAGAATTTTTTTTATTTTTTATTTTTGGTAAGAGCATTAAAATATCCAAGTGTGCTGATGAGTGAATTTTAGAACTTTTTTATTTTTTTATTTTAAGATTGGGGTGAAGTTCATAACTTAAATATGCTTCTGTGAACATATATTTATTTTTTTTCTATCAAATATCAAATTTGATGGTTTTATTTTATCAACTTCAACTTTTATTTTTATTTTTTGCTATGTTGTGCTTTATGGTTTTATGCAAATTGGAATGTGAATAAATAACCAGCCAGCTCAACAACATATTTTATATTAATGAAATTATGAAATAAAGAAAAAAGATGGCGTTTTTGTTCAAAAACGTCACTATATCCCGTGATTTAATGCCAGCATGTTGTGGGATCCATTATAATCCTACTGTTCTTAACATGAATTTTTAAGATTGCATGTTGATTTGCTACATGACTTGTGTTGCGAGAGGTAATTCTCGAAGTGGATTTTTAATATTGCATACAAAAAGAGATGGTTGAAGTTTCTACTCTGATGAAAAAATAAACACAGAGAAAATTGACATAACATTACATATAATATTGGTATTTACTACTGGTGGTAGAAATTATGTGGAATGAATGAAGAAGAGATGGTTTTGGCCATGGATCTGGTTTAATAAGATTTGCTCAAGAGTGAGAAATTGTATGTCCTTGTATGACAGGGTTTATGTTATATCTTGCACTCCAAGGTGATACAATACCAAAAAAAATTAGGTTATTTTTATTTTTTTGTAAATGAGACCATTGCATGCAGAAGCGGTAAAGGCTTCGGCTGCCGAGTGTGAGGAACATGGGTTCAAGTCTGAAGGCAGTCCTCTTGTATGGATTAAATTATCAAAGGTTAGGTCTACTCAGAGTCTCCCATCCTAGCATCCTTGATTATTGGGGATGATATTTTGTTTATTAAATTGATTTTGATGTTTTCAATTTGAAAATTCTTTTATCAAATGACAAGTGTTGATATTTGATATTTTTATGTAAAAAATATAAGGCTTAATTTTATCTTTTTTAAAAAAAAAAAATCATGTTAAATAATTTTTGAATAAAAAAAAAAAAAGTAACGAAATAGTTTTGATTATGTAGAGTCTTTTTATATGTATTTATTATTGATATTTGACAATTTACTTAATAATTTTTTGATTATATTGAGTTGGATTGTGATTCAAAAAAAAAATATTAACAAATTATTACATTATATTCAAAATTTATAAAAACTTAAACTATTTAATTGATTCATATTTATCCATCAATTCGCTAATCCCCTCAATATACATCTGCCCATCCAGCAGCGGATTGAGCTTATAAATGGAGATTCCTGTTCATGAAATAAGAATATTCTTTTGCTTGAGAAGATGTGTGCCAGGACTTTTTTTTTTTTTTTTACCAGAGAAAAACTTGAAAAAGTGTATTGTAGTATTGCATCACATTTTAATTAAAGTGCACACACAATATTTTTATTTATAAATCATTGACGACAATCCATAGCCTGTTAGACTATTTTTAACCCAAATTCAAATCCTTTATCAAATTTAAATTTAATGAAAACAGTGTTCTAATCATTTTATTAAATTGGTATCAAATGAAGAGAGCCTTACTTTTTTCATCTAATCAAGGGAGTGATGTAGGCTGAAAGGTACCACATTGAGGCCACTTAAGTTACATTTTTAGTCTTTTAATTTTATTTATTTGGTGGAGATGATCTGTTTCGTGCATTTGTACATATTTGGCAGGAAATATGAAAATTCAATCAAAAATGGCGTGAAAGCAGATTCTCCGAGCGAGAAGTGAAGAATCCGAACTAGCCAGACCACTACACGTGCAGCCAAGCTTAACCGCACGTGCGGCCCACATGGGCGCTGGAGCGGCCCACCTTGGGATGCGTGCACAGAATTTTTGGTCTGTTTTGCTTCGAATAAAAGATAGAAAAATAGCCAAAATGAGGGTTCGAAAATTAATTCAGAGAAAAAGGGAGGCTAGGGTTCCAAAGAGGGGATATTCTACCAAAGTTTGAAGGACACTTTCATGGGGGTTACTTCCTCATCTTCTTCCTCTTCTCACTCCTCCATGAGTGGCTAGTCGTCTTTTCTAGGGTTTTGATGAAACCCTAACCATGTAATAGGATTTCTCATTAGCTTTAATTGTGAATTGGTTTGAACGGATGTATGGATGATTTAGAAGGTTTTAATATTCGTTTCTTTCATCTCTTCAAGTATTTTTACTCTCTGTGATTGTCTAATGCTTTCCATACATTAGTTTTCTTTGTGTTTGTATTCAAAGTACGAGATGAGTCATGCTATGAGAGATGGGTCGTGTTGCTATCATAGTTTAGAGCAAATAACTCATACTACTCGGGATGATTCGTGCCTGTACGTTGAATGCAACAACCCTCTTGATCAATATTTCAAACTTGTAGTTGTGAAATATTGGGTAGTTCAAACCGAATTGCAATTGGTGGCCAATGTTAAATCTCATTCATATGGTTAGTGGTGAATTCTCTATCCTAGGATTTTTTTCGAAAATTAATATCTCAAACCCTAATTTTAGTTGTAAGTCTAATTCCTCAATTTCTTTTAATTACTGTTTAGTTATAAAATCAATCTTATTTTTTTAATCAAAATTAATTTAGAAATTTTGCAATTGAATTAATCTAATTTCACATTTATTCCTGCGGATCGATACCTAGACTTGCCATTATTCTGATAGAATTTGGTATAATTTAGTGATTTAATTTTGGTGTGTTCAATGACCCATCAAATTTAGGCACCGTTGTCGGGGACTTCTGACGAAATTAGTTAATTTAAAGTTACATTCTTATATTAATTTTTAGTTTAGGATTTTATGCTTTCGTGTTGTTAAGTGTGCAGAGCGTTTAAAATTGGAGCTATCACCGAAAT